TGTGATGTTTTGAAATGGGAAAAGCTGAACATGAATTCAAAATGATGTGTCCTATCTTCTCTTCCACCATCTATCCCTAACTGTCCTTGAATTAGAAGAATCATAAATATAATGAAGGTAAAGTAATGATGTTATTAACTGAGCCAGAGAGTGTTACCGCAATTTTCACAAACTGACCCAATTCAATTTTCTCTTTATGTTTTATGCACAATAAGTAAATTATAGCTTCAAGGAAAAGGGAAGATATGGATCATAGATCAAAGCTTATACTATTTATCTAAAAGATTGTTTAGTCTAATACTGTAACTTAAAAGATGCAGCAACTGAGGTCCAAAGCCACATATTTATGTGCAGAGTTAAGTCCATGGACTGATGACTCTTTTATTCCCCCCAGAGGTCTTTCTGCTATACCATATTGTCTCATCAAATGAAAGTTTACGGAAATGTGCTTGTAACCTAGAAAATACTTTACAAATTTAAAACAGTATCCTTAATGTTTATCTTAATTACATATGTTTTAAAATGAAGAATAATGGCAAAATAGTATCTGTAAACATTGTTATCTGTGCTAAGTGATCAGAATCAATATTTCATATGTATAGTCACAAGAGAACAAATAATTATTTTTCCTTCAAACAGATTATTAAAAATATCTACTACACTGGCAATAATGTGAGGAAATGGAACCTCTTGTATATTGCTTGTAGGAGTGTAAATCAGAACAGCTTTGGAGAACAATTTGGCAACAATCATTAAAGTTGAAGACATACATAGCCCTCAACCTAAAAATTGCACTTCTAGGCTTATATCCTAGAGAAATACTCCCATACAGGTGCAAGACATGTCCATTGCAGCACAAATTCCAACAAAAAATTGGAAACAACCTAATTAACAACATATGGATATAGGAAAGAATTATCAAATTGTGTTACAGAAGGTAGTATAATGGACAATAAAAAAAATGAAATAGATTTATATGTATCAATATGGATAAATCTCAAAAATATAATGTGAAAACACTTAAAAAGAATAGTACAGTATCACATCAGCTCAATATATTTTAAAACACAAAAATTTTTAAAAGCACAAAAATCAACATTACATGTGGTTTTTGTATAAATACACACATAATTTTAAAAACACAGCAATGATATATACTGATTTTAGGACTAGTGGTCATCTTTCATTTGTGGAGTAAAACGGAGATTCTTGTTAGTCATAATATTAATGTTTCACAGATACAATTTTTTTCAGATACAATTTTTTAAATTAAACTGTGAATTAAATGTAGCAAAATGTAGGCCTGAATATTGATCCGCAGGTTTTTCTCAGTATTTCCTGCTGTTTCCTTTTTTTGTTCTTCCTGCTCTATCTGAACTATTTTTAAATTAATCTTGCTAACTTATTGCACTATCAAAATGATGCTGCCAAACTTGATTTCTGAATAGAAATGCCACTTTTAAATAAGTTATTTAATATATAATAGTAAATGAGGTGTTTTTGTAATTAGTCTGATTCCATTTGGCAGGTTGTAAAATATACTAGGCCAAAGCATATGAGCTTTGAAATGAGACTGCCTTGATTCAAATGCTGTCTCTGGTATTTATAGGCTGTATGACCTTGAGTAAATCATTTAGCCTTCTCTGTAAGACAAGGATCATAGTTGTAGCACCTACCTTATAGAGTTGTTATGATGTTTAAAAGAACTAACATATGAAAAATCCCCTAAACTCATGTTTAATAAATGTTAGGTGTTATTGCATTCTGCCAAAAAAAGGACTAACTGTCCATCCACATTTTATCCTGTATTATCTCATTTATAGGTCTATGCTGGTCAATTGCATCAAATAATCACTTATTTCTTAAATCCTCTATCTTTGAGGGCTAACCACTTAACTAAAGATTCTTAATTGTTAGAGTTTTAGTAAATACGTTTCATTAATTAGTGTATTTAAACATATTGCGTCCCAATCACATAACAGATTACTTGTGGTCAAAACTAGGTGATGATCTGGGAAGGCAGCACTGTCTACCCAAATTTTATTTACGTAAACATCAGCTCTTTTGCATATTGTCATATGTGTTGACCAGTTATCCAACAATTTCTCTTCTTTCATATGTGTTTGTGTCAAACTTCCAACTACAATGATTTGTTAAGAAATGAGTTTTTTTTCTAGCTCATTTAGGATTTGCGATTATGCCTTCATTTCTCTTTTTTTCCTTTTTTTTTAAATTCTCGAGTTTCTCATCAGAAATGAAAATGTTAATTTCCCATCCTCACTAAGGATTTATGGTACAGATCATTGTGTAAAGCAGGTTTAACAGTGGGGTGTTTTTCTTTCTGTTTTTCCTTCTTTCTTCTTTTTTTCTAGAGAGATTGGAATTTAATTGTTTCCTTTTTAGATAAATATACTTTTGGATTGCCAGTGATGAAAGGGGCATGCAGATGTCAAAAGCATTGTAGCACAGTGGGATTATGTGCTAAGGTCCATGGCAGGACAGACAAACAAGCAAAGTCTCAGATCAGTCAAACAGTTACCTTTTAATAAAATCTCAGATGACCAACTTTGTTTTATCTTTGTCAATGCCTATCAAAAGTTCAAATGAAGTTTTGTTGTGTTAACTACTTACATTTCTTTTATTTCTTATTTTAACCATTTGTAAAAATAAAGGAATTTTGCTAAATGGAATTGGGAATTTGTTTAAAGGCAAGCCAATTTAAAATAAAACAACACATGTTATACATATGGCTTTCTTCTTATTAAAACAAAATAAGTTGGACTTTAAATAGGAACCTTAATTATGTTATGTGATGAGAACTATACTTAACTATTTTTTTTGGACATGGAGGTAATAATCTGTTTTGTACTGCATTTCACTGACAATATGAAAGCAAAAAATAATAATTTAATTTTAATTTTCAAATCATTTTCAGGAAAAACTATATTGCCTATTTTGAAGCAGTAAAAAAAACTCACAAAGTGCAAAACCACCATTTTGAGTACCCGAATAATTATTTATAGCACTCCACTGGTCATTTATTTACCTTATATGAATTTTCCATCATCAAGGGCTTTAGGTGCATTTATAACAAACTGTGATTCTTTTTTTAATTGCAATACCTTGACTCACAATTTAGAGCAGAGGTCGCAAACTGACAGCCCATGGGCTAGATCCTGACCCCAGATGGATTTTGTTTTGCCTGTGAGGTGTTGCTTTTTTGTCTGTTTGGCTTTTTATTGAGTTAGTTATCAACATTTAAGAATTGGAGAATTTCATGTAAAAATCTGGATTCCCAGCTTCTTTTAAAAAGTCAGATCTTAACAACACTGAGCCCACATTCCCACATGGTAACAATCAGCCAAGCTGAGTAATAGCCACCACCTTGGCAAAGAATATATATACTCTCCAGTTCACCATAGTCCCCACCACTCCATATTGCTTATAATCTTTCCTTTATGTTAGCAGCCTTGCCTCAGTAGGCGGTAGAGTTTGCGACTCTCCTGGTTTCTCTGTAGTTTATGTGAGTGACTTGACACATATACCTTCAAAAACACCTCATAATTTTTCTCAGATTGCAGTAAATGTAAAAATATTATATATATATATGTACATATGAAATGTATGTTTTGATTATCCAGAAATAAATCTATATAGTTATAAACTACTGCTACAGTTAATGAAGAGAGAACTTGACTTAATTCGCATGTCATTTTACTAGAAAATTAAAAATAAAATGAAAGCCAGCTTCAACATCTGAATTCAATTGCATTCATATAAAATCGGAAACACTTTCAATATCCAAGCCTAAACTCAAAACTTAATCCATTTAATATTTTCCAGTTAAAGTCAGTCATTAATAAAATCTACTGAGTTTTAGTCTCCTCAGCATTGATGTCATTGTCTAATAGAAAGTTTGGCACTTAAGGAGGCACATCCACTGCTTCAGGTCACTTCGGTATTATTTAGTGTGCATGGCATTTAAAACTAACTTTTAATATAGAAAATGTCACAGATATTAGAAACACCACCATAGTGATGTTTCATATTCCGTGTTGAAAACCCAGGATGAATCACATGGTATAGTCCTCATCTCCCATACAGCTCTTATGACATTTTTCTTGTAGAAAAATATGGATAAAACCTGCATCAAGAGCAGCCCTAAAGGAAGGGGGAAAAATATCACCAAAAGGTAATGTAACCTGAAAAAGAAGTGTGGAAGAGAAGAGGGGTCACTACCGACAGGAACTATCAAAATATATTTTAGGATCATGGGTTCCCCTCCTTCACGCTTGTCTCTGACTCACTGTGTGTTTTTTTCACCACTACAACCTAAAATGTCTGAGGCCGGGAACAATGTGTTAGCTCTGATGGCCCTTTGACTAAGTTTTCATAGATATTTTAAGAGGTTTCAAGTATAAATCTTCTTAGACTTCCAAATATTTGTTTAAAATATATTATTAGAAGAAAAAGATTTTAAATGTTTTAAAACTTCTAGCATGCCTACAACACATATCTGTGCCTAATGCTTAGAATGACTCAGAAGATTAGAAAGCCAGATTCTTTTCCATCATCATTGTAGCACACTTAATAGCCTGTGCTGCCCTGCAAAAGTGAATGTACCTTCCTAAGCATTCCAGAACAAAGGGGCAGGTGGGCATCTGAATAACTTCCCCATTATTTTACATGGGTGTCATAGTTTTTATGTCAGTGATGTTCACGCAATACCCACCAACCTTGCAGCCATTCTATAACTTCTGCTTTAGAACCTCCAAGTGGATGGACAGGTTGCAATTAACTCTTTGGATTTCATTTTTTTCTCATTACTAACTAAGGATTAAGCAAGATTCAGCATTTGCTGCTGAAAATTCTAAATGGCTCTACTTTCCTACCTTAGTAATTATAGTACAGGGAATAAGATTATGAAAGTGTGGCTCAATCTGTACAGGCTCCAGGACATTCTCAGGAAGTTGATTTTTAAAAAATAAATACATAAATACCTGTTAACAGCTTGTTTTCTTGTCATTTGCCTCTTCCTTCTAAAAGGAGAGTGTAGCAGAAAATAAATAAATAAAACTGGTTAATTGAGAGTTCTGGTTAGTTAGCTTCCAATTAATCAAGGCTTTATTATATTTCACAAAAAAACTTCCTAAATTCTGCAGAAATTTTAGATAGGTTACACACAATGAAACACCAGCAGGGAAGAGCACACAGAAGATAAGGCAGCCTGAATTACTATTAGTGTTTTAAATATATGAATAATGTTAGCACATTTCTAGTATAACCCCCATTGAACAAAGAATAATGTGAAATGTCATGTGATTTAGGGCTTTTCCACACATGAAGGCAAGGAAATAAGGTAAGAGATTTCTGTTGAAGAAAGTGGCCTTGGGTCGTAACAATTCCAAAATAAATTCAGCAATAGTATGTCTTTTCCCTCTCTCTCAAGAGCCTTCCTTCCCATCCCATTGGGTATTCCAACATTTTGGGGGGAAAATCCCTTTCTAATTTTTCTCATCTTTTATTTGGTCAACAGGATGATGAAAGTAAGCCAATATCAATGTTGTGCTTATTTCCTAAACGTGGAGCCACTGATCTCAGACGGATCACTATATGCATTTTTCTGGAGCATACTGAATTATCTTACATCTTCCTCACAAGGGTTACACACGCGCATACACACACACACACACACACAGTCATACCTACATCCACACAAAAGAAATTAAACACATACAAAAGATATCCGTTTAAAAAGCACAGTTAGCCTTGTTAACAAAATAATTATTCTTTCCAGCAGTGCAGTAACTCCCAGTGTTCTCCAATCCTTTAATAAAGAACAATGAAATCTAAAATGACATGCAAAAAAAAAAAAAAAAGAAAACTATGAAGACTATCATGTGGTTATTTTAAGCCATAATGCACTTCTTAGTAATACAGAAACGGGAACCTTCCTATAATGCCCACTACAAATATCTGTGGTTAGTTCATCATCTTTTTGTTGAACAACAAAAATAATCTTTTTGTTTTTCTTTTGTGTGCCTTTGGAAAGCAACTGCTTCACTGCTGAAAGTCTGTAGAGAGATTTCTAAAATACATAAATGGAAATATATCTGGGGTTACTGGGGAGAGAAGGCGAGAGCGAAGGTGAGCCTTTCCTTACCTACTCTTATGTTCTTTCCCTTCACTGTCAGAACTATTTGATTTTGCTTTACAACTCACTCACACAACCTCTTCTGAGGTGACGCGTTTTTTAAATAAAATATAATCATACGCACCAAGTCAATGATAATGTATCCTTCCTTATTTTAATGGGCTACATATGACTAGATTTGAGGGCATTTTTCAATTTTACCAAAGATCCCCCTCTTTTTAAACTATAAAACTTTCTAAGCTCAACAAACTTTTTCTGGCTATCACTATATATATATATATATATACACACACATTTAATTATACTAAGTCACCAAAATAAAAATCATTTATATCTCCTATGGCATGGGCTTCATAGGTTAAACTTAGACTGTGAAATCATTGACTACTAAAACATTCTTATTAGAATTATCCAGTAAATATATGAAAGCCCATGAGTTAACTGTTCTTTAATTAACGATTGAAAACGTTCTTAGAAAATTAGGAGTTTATCTTGATATTTGAAAATTTCTCATTTATCTTGTCCAGTGTAAGGAATGTACTTTATAATAGTGCTTAACAAACTAGCTATAACTCTAGGGCTTTAAGGCCTACAAGTTAAATACACATATTTCATTTTTTATATTCTAAGTAAAATGTGACTCCTATACTTCTGAATTTGTTCTTTTAGTGATATCAATTAACTCATTTTAGTTTTCCTTATACTTTGCCAAATAACGAACATTTTTGAAAATTTTATTGAGCAAGCAGATAATGGCACTAATATTATCAGCTCAGCATAGAATAGCTTATAATGTGAAAAAAAAATCATTGGAGTTCCCTGGAATTGGTCCAAAATGTTCTGTATTCCCTCTATTTTCTCTTTGTCTACTGAAGTTTTCTTTTTGCTGCCCCTCCCACTTGTGATTCTGGCTATGAAACAAAAATCATGAAGGAAAGGCCTGAAATTTACTAAAATGTATCTTTGTGGCTTAAATATACATATGTTCACATTCTTATAAAGCCACTAACAAAACAGGGGTTACACATAGTCAAGAACGTTGCGTAAGATACAAAACTCAATATACAACTACCATCAACAAAACTATTAAGAACTGAGGTTTTGCAACATATGTTGGTAAGTAATAAGGGTTCTCTACACAGCTCACTAATTCCAATCATCATCATGATTGTACTGCATTAAGACTGGTTAACCTTACCGTAGAGAGACCCTCTCCCTATGCACAAGTTATGACTAGACAGTTATTCCACTCTGGCTGAGACCCAGAAGTTAATCATTGAGAGCAGGCTTTATTTAGAATTAGTCAAAGTCATTTTTATCCTGTACCACTGATAAATAAATTTTCATACTCTGATTCTTCCAACTTTGGGCATGTGAATGTGAAGCTCAACAAAGTTAATGACAGTGATTGCTATGCAGTGTGCTCATCTTTGATTGGTGTCAGTTTAGTATGAGAATCAGAGATATGACATTCTCACTTTTGAAACCTAAATGTAGCCCACAGAATCTCATTTAACAATATAGAGAAACAGCATGCAAGACACATGACAAAAAGCAATAAAATACCACATAATAAGGAGTCCAGTTAAAAAGTCAGGCTCATTGAATTTAAGCATTTTGGTCTTCTTTAGGATAAATTGAAAAATCATTATTAAATTATCACATATTATGTTCAGCCTCTGATTTGCAGGAAGCTAAAGAAAATGTTCCTTTCACTGATTTGTCAAAAAAAGGAAAGTAATTCAAACAGGGCGTTTTAAAGATACAGTCAACTTTGGAATTATCTACTGCAAGGGATTTCAAACTGGATTCTAAAGTACTTCAGTGAAACTACTAATGTATAGTAGAAGGAAAAATAAGGGGAGCAATTCTCTTATATCTTTTCTTTTTCTATGTGATATATTGGGAGTGCGTGAACGGCATTGGTTAACTACCTGCTACCACCATCATTTAACAGACGAGGAAATTCTCCCCTGAGATGTTCAATTATTTGGCCAAAGTTGCAGAGCAAGATAAGGTCAGGTCACCCAATATACTGACCTGAATAACAGCTCCTGACCCTACATTTTTAATCCTGCTTCCTCTACTGTATGTTAGAGAACCACTTTTTTAATCTCCTCCCAAAGACTGTCATGTCTGTTTTATATTCATGGTAGCACAATATGCTTGATAAACATTACATATATATTTAGGTAGTAGAAGAGACAAGATTTGTGTCTCCCTTGTTCTCTAAGCCAGTGATCTTTCTGTACAGAGCTTTAAAAATCTAAACATTTACATAAAATCTGAATTTCAATGTGCTTATACACCCTTGGTAGGAATTTAAATTAGTTCAGCCACTGTGGAAAGTACTGTGGAGATTTCTAAAAGAACTTTAAAGAGAACTACCATTTGACCCAGGAATCTCATTACTGGGCACATACCAAAGGAAAATAAATTTTTCTACCAAAAATACACATGAACTCGTATGCTCATCACAGCACCACTCATAATAGCAAAGACATGGAATCAACCTAAGTGCCTATCAACAGGGAATTGGATAAAGAACATGAGATACCTGTACACCATGGAATATTATGCAGCCATAAAAAAGAACCAAATCATGTCCTCTGCAGCAGCATGGAAGCAGCTGGAGGCCATTATCCTAAATGAATTAACACAGGGATGGAAACCAAATACTGCATCTTCTCACTTACAAGTGGGAGCTAAACACTGGGTACATATGGACATCAAGACAGCAACAATAAACACTGGGGGCTACTAGAAGTAGGGGAGAGGAAAGAGGATCGAGGGCTGAAAAATTGCCTATTAGATACTATGTTCGCTACCTGTGACAGGATCATTTGTACCTCAAAGCTCAGCAACCCACAATATACCCACATAACAAACCTGCACATGTACCCCCCAAGTCTAAAATAATGTACCACTGAATCTAAAATAAAAGCTGAAATTTTTATTAAAATGAGAGATCTGGCAATACTGGTTTCATACTCTTACTGGCTTGGGAGAACTAGATGAAGCAGATTAGCAATGGCTGCCCCATAGAAAGAGCATGCACTCTACTGTTCCCCACAGTTCCCACAATTTCTTATGACCTTATACCCGGCTCTCTTAATGAATTTGTTATTTCTGAGGACCCAGGAAGAATATGAGTTTTATGGCTGCTATTTTAAAGGTGATTTACCCAAATATTAGTCAATTTCCCCAAAGAAAGTATGGGATTTCCGGAAGCTTCCGTGTGTGTAAGGTATTGATTGAAGGTGCACTAAGTGTGCTAAATCATCTGTCTACCTTATAAAAGACAATGTATTTTCTTAATGAAGACGAGCCTTTGACCTTTGAAGTTGACACAACTATATACAGAATAGCACCTAAAGCAAGTTGCCTCAGATAAAAAGAGATTAAATAAGAAACAAACTCTGATTACACTCACAGAAACAGTATCATTCAGACTAGAAGCTATATTCAAAATTCCAAAGGATCAATGAAAATGTTCCCTACGCTCTGAAATGGGAGTCAGCTGTTGATATTTCGGAAACTACTAAATTAGGTTTCAGCTGCCCCTTACACAGGTAACATCTGCTAGTCACGCAATTTGGTTTTCTAGCCCAACACAATAAACAAAATGTTTATTTGCTAATAAAATGTAATAAATAAATAAAATATAAGTCAAGCAATGCCTCCCCACCTCCTATCAGACATCATCAGTAGGGGATAAACTGCCAATAAATATGTGCTGGTAAAACTTTTAAAAGTTATCTTTGGAGACATGACCAAATCGTGTTAACTGTGAGATTTGCACTATTGGAGCTTTTAGAGACCTTTCCTAACTCTTAGATGATAACTTTATGCATCTTGTATGACAACTGTTGCTTTATTTCACCA